GTGGTTCTCAACCTGTGGGTCCCAACCCCTTTGAGGTTGAATGACCTTTCTACAGGATTTGAACACCAGATATTCTGTATATTAGATATTTACATTACAATTCATAACAGGAGCAAAATTGCAGTCATGAAAATGATTTTTATGGTTGGGGATACCACAGCATGAGGAATTATATTAAAGGGTCACAGTATTAAGAAGGTTGAGAACCACTGTCCTAATAAAAGAAGTCTGTCTTTTCCATGAATGGCAGTGAATGATGAAACCCAGGAATGCCGAAGATTCTGAAAATAAGTGATGGCGGAAGGCTCACTCCTAAATACAACATTTATATTACTCCAATTACGGCTCAGGGATCATTGTGGAAGAGTGCATCAGCAGAATGTAGGAGCCATAGGATAGGGGTAATAACTGTGATATGCCGTTCTCTAGAAATGATATGGCATGGTAATCATGAATCCACAGCAGCTACAGTTACCTGCACTAGACCTTTATAAAACAGGCCTTGCCAGTATCCAGCACTAGATCGAGAAGAGGCTCATAGAGTCCAACCCTTTACTTCTGAACTGATATATTCTGGGAGAGTGGGGACCATTATTTTCAGTTATGGATCCATTGCTGAGACCATGAGACTCCAAAGGTTATTTCCCAACTCCCCCATCATAAAAGCTCAGTGGGTCACAAACCAAGCAAAGTGACTCGATTGGGACAAAAAGACTATCAGGACAGGCAGGGGTGGGAGACATGCCTGAGGAGAAATTTGGGGACTTGAGTTTTTGCTTTCCATTATGTGTTCTGGGAATTGAACTTGGGGTGCAGGCTTACACAGTGAATGCCTTTACCTACTGAACCATATTTCTGGCTCTTAAATACATTTATAAACTAGAATCTGCTGTGGGAATAAGGTACTACAGTATATAACTCCCATACTCAGACATAGTGTTCTTTAAATCAATTGAGCATCTTAACCAATAATTATTTCCTAGTTGGTGTAGGAAGTAAAGTCATTACTACCTAATTGGAAGTGGGATTTTATAGAAATATAATCAGTTTGCTTATTTAGACATTCAGTTTGGTTAAACTGTCATGTGATAATTCCCATTAGACATATTATTTACTAGTGCAGAACACTCCGCAAGTCCAGGGAGTTTTCGTATCTTTATGACTCTTTCCTCTTAATATCACTAGAAAACCACCCCCCCACTGGAAGAGGGAAGCCTGGAGCATGTTCACATTGTTAATACTGATACACATAAAATTTCCTCCATAAACCCACAGAAAAAAAGCTTAGCTTAGATGTCCTTCAAAATATCAGATTAGGGAGCTAAGGTGTTAGCACAGGTTAGTGAAGGCAATAATTTTTACAAAAGGACATGTAGGTGGACCTCAGAATTTGTGGGTTCCCCATAGATTCAGTTAACTATAGATTAAAAATATTTGCAAGAAATGCATATGTATTGAACAAAAACAGGCATTTATCTCTAGCAACATAAACAATGCAGCAAGAAACTCTTTAATAGTGTTTACAATGTGCAAGGGACAGGATGTAGCCCAGAGATAGTTTAGCGTATGTAAAAGAATGTGTACAAGTTATATGCAAACACTGCACTGTTTTTACATATGGAACTATAGTACATGAGGATTTGGGTAGCACAGAGGTCCTGAGCCCAACCCCCTGAACCAATTACCAAGGTATGACTATATTTTAGCCTTTTAATTGGATCCATCCAAAATATCCAATACAAAACTTTGATGTATTAAATTAAAATGGTTAGTCATGAATTTATATAAGTAACATTATAGGGTTTGTCTGAGTGGGTTGTATTTATACACTTAGGAATATTTATCTATCTCCATCATCTGTCTCTTTTCTCTCTTTATACACACACACACACACACACATATTAACAATTAAAAATTATAGGTCATGAATTTGAGAGAGAGCAGTGAGTGGTACTTTGGATGACATGGAAGGTGGAAATGGAAGGGGAAAATGATGTAATAAAAAATTTTAAGTAATGTGTGGAGTAGGATTGATGGCTTAAAATGATAAAAATCAACTTTCCTGATCCCTTTGGTGGTAAATATTTGTTAATGACTAGATTTGCAGTTTTAAGCTAAGGAGCAGATGGGATTTAGATGGTGAATATGGACTATCACTGCAGGGATGAGGCGTCTTTCCCAACTCCCTTTTCTGGGGGAGTTTGGACTGTTAGAATTGCACTTGAGAGAAGCCTGGTTACTGTGTCTATGGATAAGATAAAACGAAGCTTATCTTCTGTTGATCAATACTGTCTTGTTTGTGCTTACTGAGTCATGTAGAGACACATGTGGTAATGAAAGCCATTGGGCAATAGTACCCAAAGTATTACCCTGTGTCCTAAGGGATGCCAGTGTTTTCAAATGTTACTGAAATAGGTTTTAGACCAGCTGTCTGTGTAATGAGGCTATCACACCCAGTGTCTGAACCTGAAACTATGGGTGTTAATAAAAACATGTTGAGTTTTCAGTAGTAGTTCTGAGAAATAGTTTCAGTTATCCAGTTTGTAGTTGTGTGTGTGTGTGTGTGTGTGTGCGTGCATGTGTGTGTGTGTGTTTATATGTTCTCAAGAAGTGCAGTGGCTTTTGTAATCAATGGATTTATTTATATAATTTTCTATTTTAATGCAATTGTTTTGAGAAAGCTAGTGGGTGGTAAGTTTGGACAGTTTAAGTTTTTCTGGAAAAATGGAAAATAGAACAAGGGGGTCAACTTGTTCGGAAACACCAGCACTCTGCTTATCAGTCTTTACAAAGTTCTACAGGTAGATTATATATCTGTTTCTTATCTAAAGACTCTGAACTCTTGAGAAGTCAAATAATGTCACAGCTTCATAAGCCAGAGATGAGTGGAGTTAACATTGCAGCCTGGTTATGTCTGCAGAAGAGTCTGACATTCTTGCTGTAATTAATTTTAAAAACTCTAATTTGGGCATGGCTTTGTTTAGTGGAAGACAATAAAAGCATATGAATTCTTGGAAGTTCTGACTAAGATCAATCTTAACTCAATGATTTCACTTGACACTGGTCATCTAGAATACTAGACATGGGCTTTAAAAGTGGTCTGTTCTTAGCCTGTAGCCTGAGGAGTATAATGTTGGAGAGACATTGGTAGACAAATGCTCCTGGAAGAAGTTCTCTTAATCAGTAAGGTTATGAAACTGCATTACCTGTTCTTTTGGCTAACTGCAACAATAAACACCCATGTGCACATAGTAAATCTCAATGATTGAGCGCAGTGTGCACGTGTGCTCTGGAATTAGACTACCTGGCTGGGTCACCTGGCTATGCCATTTGCTTTCAACATTGAGCCTGTTAAATAATTTGTCTACACCTCAATCTAATAACAGTAAAGTATCTAGTAACAGTGTAATAATAATAGTGGGGTATTCTAGGAATAACTTGAGATTAAATTTATAGAGAGTGCTTAGAAATGTACTTGATTATCTTATACTTAATAAATATTATTGATATATTGAAGAGCACCCAAATACTAAGAAGAGCTGTGTTTAATTGTCTAACATCACTTACTCAGCATATTTGATTGACTATGGAGACACATGTTTATGGTCCCTTCTGTTCCTGAAGTGTAGTGCTGGTAATGTTAATACTTAGAACATCACTGAATAATTTGTCATTAGCCTAGTTTAAAATGGCTACTCACAATTTTGTATACATATAATTCTGTGAATGTCACTTAAAACAACTTCTTTCCAACTGTATTTTCTCTTCCCCTTATACTTAACACACAGCAAAACAGAACAGAAAGACATATATGTTTTTTAAATGGGGAAGTACCAATATTACTTTAGAAATGGCCTGAAAAATAAACAAGAAATATCTGCTTCTATGTATTGGCAGGGGAATCCCTAATTGCTTGGATAAGTAAGCGATTTTCCTTTTATTACAGATTTACCTTCTCACTGTACGCTGCTTAGGATATTAGTGTTTCAAGCTAGACTAACTGACTCATTTGATGCTCCTTACACTGGAAGTTTATCAATATTTGGTTTATAAAATGTTAATCTCTTGGGATGCATAAATGATTCTCAGTTCTTGTCTCCTTGAAGAGTCACCTCTGTAACTGTCACTGGGACAGTCATGTGTTTATCGGGGCCTCTCTGTGGTACCTACTCTAATCATGGTGAAACAACAGTGCTTTAGTCAGAGAGGTGAGATTCTGATAGAACAGAATGCCCTAATCTATGCCCCCCTTAAAACCATCATACATGGGTGGTTAGCTATCCCTCAGGGGTGACAGAAATAGTAATGTAAAAATACGTGGGCTGTGCTGTGTTTGCTCAGTCTATGAAAGCGATCCTTCTAGGTTGAGAGTTAACACACTCAAAACGTCAGTTTTCCATAATGGTCTTTGTTTTCTTTTCTTGCTAGAATTAAAAGCAAACAGCTTAGGTTGCTGTTTTGGCAAGCAGGTTAGTGGCAGAAGACACAGCAAGAATTCGTCCCAATTCTTTTCTTAGGGTGGTAGCATACAGTAGTTAATTGAATAGACAGGGTCTAATGTATGACAGGAATTAGGACTGATACACAGAACTAAAAAAATCTTCTAGAGATGTTAAACTATGTCTTTTGTTAATTACATTCTTGTTCCCAGGTCCTAGGGACAAGGACAGACAGTAAAACACAGCTCTCCCTGACTCCAGATAATCTGGATGGAGGTAAGGGTTGTTGCACAGGAGCCCCACTCATGAACCCACAATTATTACTCCACTTTCCATAAGCTTTGGAAGCATATCAAGGAGTAAACCATGACATTCATCTCAGCTTGAGATTATGGGATCATTCCAATACATTGTTTTGTTTCTCAGTTGGTTTCATTAATAGAAAAGCAAATGACAATTCTCTGGCTTAGACTCAGGGATAGTAAAGAGCACAAGTTGTTTTCATGCATTCTCACAGATACCACAACACAGAATTGAAAATACAAAAAGCATGGACCATACCTGAGCAATTTTTGAGGTTCCCCACCCGGAAAAAGTTTCCTTGATTATGGCGAATTCAGCGTGCCACTTTGGTTATAGTCTAATCATCGTATCAAACTCCAAAGGTTCAGTGGCTTTAGGTTTGGTTTACAATTCCCTGGGGTTAAACTTTAACTCACCCTGTCTCTTGCATCCATGCAGCCCTTTGACCAGGTAACTGGGTCACTATGGCCTAAACAGAAGCTACAAGATTGTCCTCTTCTCTTATTTACAAAACGAAAATGTGTTTCTCATTGTAGTCAATTCTCTTTTGGACCTAGCTTATGGACATAATTTAAATGCAGGATTCACTCCGTTTTAGGAAACTAAGATTTTCTTTATGTGGTCACATTATTTATCTTCTGTCAAAGTAATATAATGGGTAAGGTAATTTAGGAGACTATTCTGTTGTGTCACACTTTTTCTATGACTGTTTTACATGGAATAAAGTATAGAGTTTTAGGTCAAGTATGTAGATTAATGCTGGCTTACAAACACAAAACACACAAAGTGTTTTTATAAACAAGTAGCTGAATTTAGTCCAGTGTAGGCTGGGGTAAACATTTCACAGAAGCTGCTCATTCAGATCTGAAGAGGTGGGGGGCGGCTCTTCAGTAGGAGCCCGTGCTGTTGTTTTTTGCTGGGAATCTCAGTAGTAACTGCGTTTCTTAAAGAATAGATAATTTGTATTTTTAAAATATATAAACTCTGCAGTTAAACTATCCAGCATGGGCACCAGTCTATATAAGAAACCTCAAGGGATTAAAAAAACCCACAACAATAACAACAAAAAACCCTATTTACAAGATAAAAACAACAAACCCTTCCCTAGTTTTAAGGCTTATAAAACATAGGCTGTGAAAATGGAACTAAAGGATACTTTCCCTTGCCTTCGGGTCAAGTAAGAGAAGTCTAATTTCCCACAAACCAACGTAGGACATATTTTTTTCTCTTAGAAAAACAGGAAACAAGCAAGGGATGACACAGCTGAGGCTTGCCTGTGATTGGAGAGGAGAGGGCTGATGATCTATTGCAGTGTTCATTCTGCTTACAGCTTCATTTATTCTATCAGGAAGCCTTGACTGACTTGTATTTTCTTTTCCAATGAGTACATAACTGCCCTAACAAAACCTGTCTGGAATTATTGACTTGCCCTGGAATTGTAAGTAGAGGTAGCATTCCTTGCTTCCTTGCTAGACATCTCTATTTATTTCTTCTAGGGAATGGATTTGCCCACCAAGAACCTTCTTGGTTTTCCCAGGAGAAGCTCCATCTGGGCTTGTCTGGCTCCTAAATGAGTGAGGAATTTTTACTATGAGTCTGATCCCACAAAGAGTTCTTGATATTATGAGACTGAAGGTTCTGGCAGCAGGGGATCCTGATCCTGTGGTAGGAGCCTGGGCAGTGCTAAGTGAGGATTAAAAACTTTGAAAAAAGGAAAGCAGGGCCCCTTAGACAATTGGTGGAAACAGCAAAGCATAACAAGAACAGGAGAGAAAAAGAGAGGGAGGGAGGGAAAGAGGGAGGGAGGGAGGGCGAAGAGAGAGACAGAGACCAGCCAACGTGCAGTTATTTCTTAACAAACCCTTTCTTAGTCGAAAGTATATTGAGTTAAAAATGCACTTCGTATGACTAACTCATGGAATGTCACAGTTGAACAGTAAGTAGCAAACAGAGTCTGTTTCCCAGACTCTGACTATACACTGATGGGGAGCTGTGGCCTGCTGCCACTGGCCAGCATCACTGGAGAGTATCCTGTGACATAGCACTAGGAAAAGATCCAAATTTAAATTCAAAGTATGATTTCTCCTGGAATGCACGTCACTTTTACAGCAGCAAGTGGTTAGATGTATCCAAGTGGATTCAGTGTGAGTAAGGGAGGATCAGTTTTGATTAACATCCTAGTCCAGGTTTCTGTAACAGAATATGACACTTTCTCAGGGGTCTAGAGGCTGGAATTACATAACCAGGTGCCAATAGAGTTTCCTTTCTTTACATGACTTTTCTTGGTATGTGACCATGAAGGGAGAGATTTTGTTTGTTTTGTTTTGCATTTTGAGACAGAGTTTCTCTGTGTAACAGTCCTGGCTGTCCTGGAACCGACTTTGTAGACCAGGCTGGCCTCAAACTCACAGAGCTTCGCCTGCTTATGTCTCCTGAGTGCTCAGATTAAAGGTGTGTACCACCACACCTGACTGATAGATATTTAAAAAGTATTTTATTTTCTTTCCATTTTTGTATGTGTGGGGGAATATGCATGCGTAGTGTGAGTGTGGAGGTCAGAAGGCAACTTAAGGGAAGTTGATTCTCTCTTTTTGTTGTGTGAGTCATGGGGATGGAACAGAAGAAATCACGTGTGTTGGCAGGTGCCTTTACTAGCTGACTGTCTCATTGGCTAGACATATTTTCAAATAAAGACATGTACACTGTCCAACGCCCTGCCCTCATGACCCACTCTAATCTAGCTATCTTCAAAAGAGCCTATTTCCAAATGTCATCATGGTTAGGGTTTTAACATGAATTTTAGGGAGAAAGCAAGCATTCAGTTTATAATAGATTCACATAAAAGTTCAGTGTCTTCTTTAATAGGTCCTGACATTTCACAGATCAGGATATGCTCATGTCAAACTGTAATCCACATGTTACTCAGGAGGGCTGGTGGTAATAATGAATTTGACAGCATTGTTAAGTTATGATCATTCTTTTCCAAACCATTTTATTATAATAGTAGGGATTTATTGACCAGAAATAGAGTGACAAGCAGACAAGCAGACTTTTATGAGGGCTAGTCACTCATGGTACATCAGTAGTGATGGCACAAAGAATCCAGCAGATCAGAGTGGAATCAACTCAGGACCTTAATTCCATCAGTCTAACCGTGGAAGTCCACTCTCCTCATCATGACAATACTTACCTTTATTTCATAAAAACAGCCCCTGTTTAAATAGTGCCTAGAAAATACCAGTTTCCCACTAGTTTATCCTACAAACTACTGGAGACTACTTTTTCTTAAGAGAGTTCGTGATAAGGTAACTGTTTAATGTCAGAGATGGGTAGATGGCTCAAACAGTGAGGTGCCTGTTGTGCAATCACGAAAAACTGAGTTTGGGTCCCTAGGGCCTTTGTAGAAAACTGAGTATATGTCTGTAATTCTAGTAGTTGGGAAGAGGGAGTAGGTAGAGCCCCAGAGTTCACTAGCCAGCTACTCTAGCCAATCAGTGAACTCCATGTTCAGTGAGAGATCCTGTCTCCAAAAATATTGGAGAGAGTTATAGAGAAAGGCACTTTGATGTTGACCTATGGTCTCCACACATGTTTGCATGAACTTGAATGCACACCAAACACACATGTGCACACACAAACACACACATACACACACATGCACAGAGATAGAAACAAGACAGATAGATACAGAGACACAGAGATGCAGAGAGAGGGCAGTCTATTAATAGACTATGGAACTGATATTGTACCAAACATTCCAAAAGGAAGAGTAAGTAGTGTCTATGAGAACTTTCTTTTTCATCTTATGCAGGTGACAACTATTTAAAATGAGAAGTGATGACTTAGGGAAATTTCTCAGATAGGAAATGTGCCTGCCATATAAGCATATGTGATTGGATTATGATTTAATTTTTTTCATTGACCACAAGTTTTTAAAATTTGCAAACCATTGAACTGGATTTTAGGGGTTTCATGGTTAACAGACCAGAAAGAGGTTGTACATGTAAAGGAATACCCCAATGGTATAATAAATGTTGTGAAAGAGAAACAAAGCATGCTAAACAGCACAAGTCATAAGAACCAAATGCAGGGTAGGGATGGGTAACTAAGGTAATGCAGGAAAACTCTAGAATACAAGGAATGAAGAAACTTTCTAGTCGGTGGAAACGGCGCAGGTGAAGTCTGAGCTGGAGTTAACTGAGCACATTCAAATGACAACTGGAGCCAATTGTGAGCCCCAAAGGGAAAAGGAGTTGGTGAAAGCTTATTAGAGGTTATATGTAATAGTTTTATAAATTTCCAATGATATTCTGTTGCAAGGGAAGTTCCTGTTCATATTGTGAGTACGGGGTAAAGAAAAATTACCATGGAAAAACATTACCCACTACACACTCTTCCCCATTGTTTAAATTGTCAACTGGGCACAACCTAGAATCTGAGGGACTGTCTAGATCAGGCTGGTCCATGGTGGTGTCTCTGTGAGATCGTCTCGACTGCTGTAATTGATGTGCAAGACCCACCTTGATAGCAGGTGGCAGCATCGCTTGGTTTGAAGCTGTGGACCATGTAAGATTAGAGAAAGCTAGCTGAGCAACCGATTGTGCATTTGCTCATTTCATTCTGCTCATGGTGGTGAGTGTAATACGACTAGCTGTCTAAACCATCTGTCTTGACTTCCCTGCTATGATCAACAGTAACCTGGAATTGTGAGATAAAATGAACCCTTTCTTCCCAACCCTAAGTTGCTTTTTCTAGGTAGATTATTATGGCAACAGAAATCAAACTTGGATAGCCCCTTCCAACTGTTTTAGAATTATTCTGTTCACACATTTATTCAAATACTTCACATTGTGGGTTTCAGAGACAAAAGTGATAAAAACCATTCAGAGAGGGGGTGAGAGGTGATGATAGCTGAGGTGAAAGTGTTGGCACTGGGGATGAGAGACATGAGGTTCAGTCAAATATGGAGGTATTGAGGCATAGAAAGAATCTGGGAACTGAGGGAGGGACACTTGTGATCTTTGAGAAGAACTGCCACATTGCTGATGGTGAGTCTGTGTTATGAGATGTTGGTACTCACAGAGGAAGGGTCTCAAAGAGGTGGAATGAATCGGATAACTTCCTTATGTAGTGGCTGTCCCTAGTCACTTGTGTGGCACTTATTTGGTTCATGCTTTTTAAAGTCTGCTCTTACTATCTTATTGTGCTTAAACTAAAAGTTATTGATTGTGTTTTCACTGGCAAAAATAAAGCATAAAAGCTTTGGAAAACCTAAAAACTAATAAAAAACTCAAAGGTTGCCAGCTGTGAATATAAGAAGTTTCCTTCCCTACCAGCATACTATTCT